ACACATCATAATTATTCATAATATTATGGCATATTACATTGTGAAATAAACTTTTAAGATTATAAAATATTATTATTAGACATCAGTTATGTTATGTTTATAAGCTCATTGCATCACGGCTTAAATTTAAAAATTAAAAATGTGTACATTTTGTTGTTGTAGTTTTAACTATCATTGTTTATTACAACGCAATTCGTATACATTCCAATATTTCATAGTAGGTATAACTACTTAATCTGAAAGTCAAAAAATTGTTATTCATATTTATACATAATTTWAAAAAAAAWTGGTAGGTACCTAAATATTATAGAGTTATATATAAACATCAAAAAAATATGACGCGGATCATATATTAAGTATGGTATGGGTTTTTAATGTCTAAAGATTAAGGTATTTTAGAATATTATTTGTACTGCAATAATAATTATACCTAATAAATATTATAGATGTATTTCTTCGATCATAAAAATTAAATTAAATGTGTGTAGGTACTAGGCATACATCTACAACGTACGTCCATTTCGTCGAARACGGCTAAACTGTAGTTTAAGTATACAACATTTCCCAAAGCACGTAGTGCTGTTATATTTTATTTATTAATTTATTGAAAAACAGATAACATTTAAATGTAAAAAGTATACCTATAAATATAATTTATGTTTTCCAAAATGTATTAGGTATGAGGTATGTTATAGCCTTATATAGGTATCTTATAAAATAGTGTTTTATTTACGGTTTAATTTTGTAAAAAAACAGACATTAAAAAAATTCCATTATTTACTTGTCAACCTTTTGTCAAAATAAAGTCTGTTTTTCCGACAATAAAATATATCGAGGACATTTTGTGGTGTAAGAGCAGTCATACCATATATCATTATGACTTTATATATGAATAATTACATTTTTTTAATGGATTTTTCCCAACTGTAATTTTTATATAATATAACTTGAGAGTTGGACACACAACCTAAACATCGTGATAATTTTCATTAATTATGACAGTTTATAGTGTTTATACCATTATAATACATTATATCTATACTAAATACTTTTTTTATCATGCTATAATTTCGACATGACTGATTAATTTATGCATTTTGTTTATTTAAAATGATTTATTTCGGGTCCAAACGCTTGAAAACAGTTGCCTGGTACCTACATATTTATGGTGGTAAGTTTTTAAATACCAATGGTAAACACTAAACACTAAACAATTAGTTAATCTAAAACAACTAGCCAAGAACCATTGAACCCATGTGRCCATGCCCAAAATAKATATAATATAATTTATCAATTTACATACAAATTCCATAACCTTAATTACTCAAATAGGCAAATTTCAAATATAGGTGTCGCATTAACGCATAATGATGAAACCTAAACTAATGTCACACAATTCACGCATGASAGGATTATAAAGTTACTTTATTTACAGGTTTTAATTACTAAGTAACATCGCTGACATGTATTTTTTCCTATTTTTGAAAATAATCCCAATAGATTTACCAAATTGTACTGTATCGATTGGTTATCAGCGCAAACAACAAAGAAAATCTTTAAATTTCTTAGCAGTAGGTACTAGGTACTTAGTATCAAACTTACATTTTAATATTTCATCATACAAACATAAACATTGATGTGTATCCTTGGGTCCCGGGCGCTAAAWTTTTGAGAACATTTTGATATTACAATACGATGCCTATAGGTCATTTGGATGATAAAAAAAGTAATGGCAATACTAATAAACTATCATGTTTTTTTTACAAATATACCYATTGTTAAAAAAATTTAAGCTGGAAGAGGGCTTTTTTTTTCAACTGGGGTGCATAATTCATWAATACGTCTCTGAATATTATTATCTTTATACCTAGCTAATCATGAAAACATGTTTATKTGTCTAGCATTTGTTGAGATGATGATGGCAGTAGAGTATAATTTTTACATAATAGGTACATTATGTAAAATCATATACACGTAATTTGAAGGGGGTTTAGCCCTCTTATATTTAAATCCCACTTTATAACAATATGTATACAACTATAGTTAAAGAATAATTCATATCATCCATTGATTACCTAACCTATATAAAAGGTATATAAAGTAAACGTTGTTTGATGAAATTATTGACACTATTACCTAGTTTATAAAGTTTAAACAACAATTTATTATTGATGTGTTTTCCATAGTAGACGTTGAAAGCTATATATTAACTACAGTGAAAACTCTTTATAAAGAAACACGTTATAACGAATAACTCTATATTATACGTAAATAACATTAAGTTAACTTATAATGGTTGGTTTGATTTAAAACCTATTAATTACTCTCTATTACAAAAACTCTCAATAACGAAATAAATCACATATGGTCCCTTCAGATTCGTTATAAAGAGTTTTCACTGTATTTAACAATCACTTAATATTTATCGAATCAATTACCCACTAATGTCTAATAATCCCTTATTATAAAGTTAAAAATATCCAAGTGGCATTAGGTATTATATATATGATTGGTCTTTAAATTTGATTGAATCATTAAATTAATAATCTCTTCATGCAACCAGGAATAATAATGTTTTAAATGTATAAGGAAGTTTCTCAGATAAAAATGATGAATATCTATACTATGTCATATTATAATATTATACAAAGTGATATACCTATATATACATATATAGGTGATTTAAGTGATATATATGTTACCCCGTGGCCCGTAACATGGGATGTGCGCGGTGGCAAAGTCACTCACGTGTCTGTTCCATATTTAAGTTTTTTTTCGCGACGATCCCGCAGGACTCTGAGTACGTCCGGAGCAAACTGCTGCAGAACGTTATCGACCAACTGGAAAAGGACATCGTCAAGTCGGAGATGGACGGTGGCAAGTACGACGCGGCGGCGAGATATGGTCCGCGGATGAAGACCACCGAACATGAACCTACCGGGGCCGACTACGATGACGCTGCCTCGGATGGCCCTAACGCTGTACCGTCGATCCGGGACAACGAGTACGTGCAGCACGGCACTCTGTGGGGAGCGCAGTACGTGAGCGGTACGTGCAATGTTCGTTTTCTGTACGGTAGGTTAGGTTATAGGTTTGGTTTGGTCAGATTAGGAATTGGTTCCCAACAAATTTCGTAGAAATCGATTTTAGGTACATTTTCACAATGTCTGAGAAAGTTCATAAACATAATATCATATCTAATAGATCGCTGAAAATGGAACATTTTGCGATGAAAGTATTCAACAATTGAATTACGGYCAAATTTKAGGTTGCATTCGTCAAAAGTTGTAAATTCATACCACGTTRTWTAAAATTTTTTTTTAATATTCGTTATTGTAAACAACCGATTTATGATGACATCATTTTATTATTGATATAATTATTCTCTTATTATTAGCATTACCTAATAAATACGTATAGATACGTATATATATAGTATATTATATACCCTGACAATAACAACACACTAAACATATCCGAGTATTTTGACAGTCCTAGGTCAGTGTAAAACGGAAAGTAAATAGTTGGTTAAGTTAGGTTAGGTTTATTAGAAATATATTATTATAGTAATTATTTGAAATGTTAATTTAACATAGTTGTATTATGATTATTAAAGTTCATCGGAACTAATACGTATTTTACCTGTATACACAACCAGGAACCGGAAGCCAATTCGGTATTATTTGAGGGCCAACTATTTAATATAGATTTTATGAAAATGATTAAAACCGTTTGTATAATGACGAGGAAAGCTTAGTTTGAACCGCGTTAGTTTAAACCAAGTGCTTTATCTAATCCACCGACCACTACATGCGTATAATTAGTTCACAAAGCAAGGTAAACCGCCGTAAATTTTACCGTAAACTGAGGTAGGTAAACGAAAACCAATACATAATACACTTATTAAACAATTTAGCACTATATTTTATATTTTTTCATTTTTTTACGGGTAATGTCGGGTTGATTTCGTTTAATAACCTAAGTCAAATATTAATTGCATGCAACTTTATAATTACAAATATTACATTCATGTATATACAATTAATACATTTTTTATAAAAATTAATCATATTTTGTAAAAAAAAATGCATCCAAATCATCCTATATTTAATTGCCGAATATTTTATAGTTGTAAATTATTTAATTATGATTATTTTAATTTAAAATAAGTTTGTTTAAGTAGGTACCTAATCTACAAGCTACAACATGAGGAAATAAAAACAACGAATTAGGAAATTAGTTTATTAAGTTAAAGTTATAAGTATGTTTAAACTGTAYTTCAACCAAACGATTATTTTTTAGTYACTGTAAAATATAGTTAAGTTATTATAACGGTTAGGTACTATCTAAGCTACTTCAGCTAGATATTTAAGTTTATCAGAAAATTAACTAATTAGCTAGTTAAAAAGTTTTAAAAAAATTAACTTTTTAATTTAGTTGTGCCTTATGCTCACTTCGTCTATAGCAATATAATATAATATATTTTCGATTTTCTTGGCTGTGTATGTTGCAGGCGGTGCCGGCGAAGGGGTACAGACTCTGAACCCAGACAGTCCGACGAGAAATAAAAATGAGGTGAAAACCGATGCAGCGCTGCCGGCCTACTGCAACCCGCCCAACCCATGTCCGGTGGGATACACGGGTAAATGAACCTTTCTATAGTTTATTATTATTAGGTAGTTGTAATTAAACTAATAGTTAAAAAATAAGAAAAACGTTATTTAGTATGAAACAATCAATACAGATATTATAATCTTATTATTTATTAATATAGTTATTGTCATGTTTTATTCCATTTGGCCAAATAAAGTGAAGTGCTCTATCAAAAGTTTAGAAATAGTGCTAGTTGCTGGTTGACTTTTTCTTGAAAATTAGTATGCATAAAGAATCGTTTTTCTGTATAATTTAATTCCAATGCCTCTATGACAACATTTGCAACATAATGCCCTTTTGCGTCTGTAGAATCGTCAAYAGACACCCAAATGTTTTTGATATCCAGCAAATGTTCTAATATTATGTTGAACAGTTACTTCATAGCATTCATGGAAGTAATCTTTTCCTAGGGCTGTTTCACCGGGAATAATTCTATTTGTGTATTTTTCCAAAAAAAGTTTAAATACATCATTTTGTAATTTTTGTAGAGGAATATTCGCAGATATTAAAGCATGGCATAAATCATAATTAAAAGATGACTTCTTAAATGCGTCAGTAATCAAAGTTTGAATTTTGCTCTTCATTTATTTTATTTTTTTCAGTCCATTAATATATTTAATGCGAGACAAGTGTTATTCAACAGTACATTTTCTGTTTGCAACAATTTTAACTTCCCAAATTTTACTATAAACAACACAAAAAATATCTTTTCCATATTCATCAATAGATGGTAGTAAACGTGATCTAGTTATTTGATGATTTAATTTTAAGTATTTTTAATTTACGTTTAAAATTAATAAAAATTACAMAACACAGAACCTTACACTTTAGACTTGTACCTACAGTAGACACTATCGAACTCAAATTAAATGAGAAACGGAAACTTGAAATTTTATCAAACACGAGTTTATGTCGATTGCGTCGATTGCGATAACCGATTTTAAACACACGGATGTCCCGGGCCTAATACAGTATCTGCTTACAGCTTATAATATATTATGTTAAATAGTCGTTGATCGCGACAACCAAAAAAAAAAGATAATGAACGTTGATAATCGACAAGCTAATGGAAACTTGAAATTCAAATATAAAATATAATATTAAATATAATAAATTAAATATAATAAAATTCAAATATATATAAAAAAAAAGTACAAAAATGAATAAAGTGCACCAAAATTGCTAAAAAGTCACCGTAAACCATAAAATTCCCTAAAAATACAAAAATGCATAATAAAAATTGTACCTAGGTACCATTAAATTCTATACTTCATGAATAAAATTTATGTATATACAAGCCTTGAATGTAAGAATTAGAAAAAACGATGCAAAATTGAAAATATGCATCAAGTTCCGGGCCCTAATTATTATGTGAAACCAATTTATAGTTAATTTTGAAAATCATTATTAGAAAAATGTTATTTGTACGTATAACTTATATCCTAGTTCATAAACTAAGAAACATTTAAAATAAAAACTATAAAATTACGAGTTAATTAGATACTACCTAATTTATAATATTGAATCCAATTATTTTAAGATTACCTTGAACACCATTTCGATTTATGTATTATAGTCTATATTATAATTGTATTACAAAAATATAAAAAATACCTACTTGCCTATATTGGCGTAAGTAATACATTAATAGTTCATACAGTTTAAGCTGTTATTAAAATTAAATAGATTTTTTGTGTAATCTAGTTGTGAAATACAAATTTTGTATACCTACTTAAAACACCATCGGTTATAAATTAATAAATTATAGTAATTATTATCAATGATCAATAATACTCACAACTAGGTATTAAATATGTAGGTATATTAGTTTTTTTCGTCATTTTCAAATGTTTGATTAATTTATTTTTGGAATTATCTATACTAGGTTCATTTTAAACAATACAGTAAGCACATTTACACTCAAATTAAAATTTAAATGAACTCATCGTTAATTATTATGAATACAGTTCTAAAATGATATACATAGCTCTACAGSTTATAAGTTACATAGGTACATAAAAATATACCTATTGGCTATTATCAATTATCATTGAATAGGTACCTATCACTTATTTTAATATCTTTTCAAAGCATTTTTTTTTTTTTTTTTAATTCACTTTGTGATGTATTCAACATTTCTTAAAACTCGACTTTTAATTAATTTGAAAAAAAAATACTTAACTTATAGCTYGACTGGGTTAAAATATATTATTCACTTGCCCAGCCTTGCTGTAGGTAGGTATCAATAACATACACATATACTTTAAAGGTTTCCTGAAAACATCCTGGAATACAGTGCAATGCATAAAAGTTCACAAAAATCTGTCAATTGCATTGCTATTCTAAGATGATACATTTTTTAAATTGAACTATAGGTTTACAACATTTCATGACCATCCACTAGAACCAGTTAGACTAGCAAAGTAGCAAGGGCACAATACAAAACAATTACAGTAGTGCAATGCTTCATACACTATAACCATAACATATTAAGCTAAAATCAACACAGATCCTTTTTTAAAATGGCCACCACTTTCTCGGTAGGACATAAAGGAGTCTATCAAAGGATATTGATACACAAATTAATGGTCGTATCATTGTATCTTTGCACATTTTAATTAATCACCCCATAAAATCAAAAATATTAAATATCAACAAGTTAAAATAAAGAACTTGAAAAAAAAAGTATCAAAGAACCGGTACTCTTACACTTTCAGATGAAGATGGTTGTATAATGGATTTTGAAAATACRGCAGCATTCAGTCGAGACTACCAGGAATCCCAAGAATGTATGTGTGATTCTGAACACATGTTTGACTGTGCAAGGTCAAACACTGGCACCAAACACAATGTTGATGTGGACGAACTCGTAAGAACATTTCAGGTGCATATTTTGAATTTTATTCAATACCTTATCCTTATGTTTATGTTCTCAATATGTTACGATTGTATTCAATCCTTACAGGTAGATGACGAACATAAGAGTTTGGTAGCCAAAAAATTCCATGTTAAAAAGGTTAGTATTTGTTTTTTGTTTCCTAGTTAATTTTCAAGATATGCCAAAAATGCTATTCGTGCATAGACATAACARATATTATTTACACAATACAGGATGTATAACAGTAATGTAAAATAACTTGTGTTTTAATCAATATTTATAAATTTTTTTTTATAAATCAGTTAGTGATACTTGCGCTACACATAACATAACATTTTTAGTTTTTATTCTTTAATCCTTAAGCCTGGTACATGTTTATTTTTTTTAAATAATCAATTTGTAAATCTGGTGTTTAGAAAAATAATTACTTACATATTTAAAATCTCATTATTTTTGTTAATTATAGTTGATCCAATTATAAAAACATTTTAAATTAAAAAAAGTATTAGCTTTTTTAAAATATATAGTATGATAATTTTTAAGAAGGCACTTATGGTTAAAATTTTAATTTTTGAAGTTATTGATTATAATCAAAAGCTTTCTAAAAACCAGATTTATGATATAAATTATTTAAAAATTTTCATTTTCAATGTTATAAAATAAAAATAGAAAATTTTATATTATTTACATGTAACTCAAAATTCATTAAGTTGTATATTATACAACAATTTTAAATTTTTATTAAAATAAAAGTTATTTAATTTGTTAGGTCTTCCTGTCATACCCTATAATATAACTTTTGTTTTTACAGGCATTTAATCCATATTTACAAGGAGAATTTCTGCCCATAGCAGCAAAAAAGGGAATTAACATCGGATTGTAACATATCTTAATCCAAAATGACCAATTATTTATTCATTCTATATTAGACTATTCAAACAATGTTATAAAGCAAAAAGAAAAAAAAAACATATATATTTATTTCAACCAGTTTATAAGTAAAAAAAAAAAAAAATGTTACCTGATAGATAATATTTAATTATAATGTCATTCAAAATTACATGTTAAAAATATGACCAAGAGATACAAATTATACAATTAATTAATAAATTATAGACTAAACTAATAATTTTTAAAGACTAGAAAAATATTTTTTTAATTCGTTTAAAATATCTCTAGAATTGTAATGATTAGGATAAATTGATAGTGACTTCTTTACCATAGCATAACTTGTTTGGTGATCACCCTCCTAGAAAAAGAAAATATTATCAATTAACTATTTAGTATTATAATTGTTATAAATTATTTAATATTTACAATATATATCTTATTTAATTTAAATATTTCTTTGATATAATACAAAAGATATATTATATTCATATGATTTAATGTTTTGTTTTGTATAAACGAGCTTTTATTAAAGAAAAGTTCAACAATCCAATCTGTTTTATAAAAAATGTTTCATTTTTATTCTAAGATTARTTCATCTTTTTAATATTGATTAAAAATAATAAATTTAGTTAAAGTATAATATTATACAAATAAGTTGTGAGTATTGTATTATGAAATTTAAAACTGTTTTTAATTGCTCTACTTCTTTGTATTCAAATTTAATTTAAAACAAAAAAATGTAAACTGTTCAAATTTTTATTCAAAGACTTATTCGAGATTTTAAAATTTAACTTAACACAAATTATTTAAGTAGTTTAAAAACMAAGTATTTACTTCTTGAGCTAGTAAAGCTCTGTTATAATGTGGTTCATAAAGGTGATCTTCAGCTGCTATTGCAGAGTTCAACAAAGATTCTGCCCGGGACATATGGTTTTTACGCCACAGTAATACAGCCAAGTTATTTAGAGCTGCACCATGAGAACTATTCAAAGACAATGTTAAATGCAAACTGTGCTCAGCTATATCCAAATCTCCAAAACCCTGCAGAATGCACAATATTAAAAACCAATCTTATTAAGAAACAAATAATATCAAAATAGATACGTACAATTGCCACATGACTGATATTGTACCAAACATCAGCTGCGTTATCATCCAATGCCAATCTTAATGCGTTTTCAAAACATGCTGTAACTACATCAAACTGCTGGGCATAGAATGAACACAGTCCTAGATTATTAAAAAGCTCAGCATTGTATAAGCCCATTTGTAGCAGTCTCCTGTATGAAAAAACAATATTATTTTAATTTTAATTCAAACACAAAAGGAAATATTGAACAAAATTCTTAAAATTAAATACTTACCTATAATATCTTAAGGCTACTTCGGGCTGATCAGAATAAAAATGATGCAATCCAATACATGCAATTGACTCCATATCTGTTGCATCTAATTCAAGTATGTCTCTATAGTATTTAACTGACATTGGTATATTATTTAGACCTTCAAATATTCTGAAAAAAAGACATGAAATACAATTTTTATAATTAGCATAAACGTGCAAATTTATAACTAATTTGTGTAATTGAATATAAAGCAGAAATATAAAGACACACATTTAATCGATTTCCACAATAACCGGGCCTCTCTGTGCAAAATTTAAATTTTAAGTCATCTGAATTGCATTCATGTTTGAAACTGTGTATTAATGTGAAAAAAAAATCTATACTACATTATAAAAATAAAGTGCTATAATTTTTTACATGGAAATTGATGAAATCACATGTGCTAGGGGGGAAGGGGGAGACAAAAAATTAAACTACATTTAGTTATACCTAGCCATTTCAATGAGTAATGTAACTTCATGTGGAAACCAAGACATGGCTTCTTGGCATATGTCTAATGAACTTAAAGGCTGGTCAAGGCGAATGAATAATCGTGAAAGACGTAAAAACACTTCAATATTAGGTCCATGTTGTAAAGCAGATCTAAACTGAGCTTCCCCGTCTCGAAGTAATCCTAACATTACGTAACATTTTCCTAACTGCACTTTCCACCAAGGGTCCTCAAATCTGCAACATTTAGTTGCTTCCACTGCAAAGTCTAATGCCTGAATTAAGTATTAAAAATAATTTCAAATATATTTTGATATTTATAACTAATATTTAACTTATATTTAAATTAATACACACTCACATTTCTAATGTCGTTTTGTTGATAATATATGTAGTTGAACAACAACTTTGAAAGTTGTTTATCAGATGCATATTTAGGAAAATTTAAACGGGATATATTAATAAAAGGACCATCAATTTGGGAGACCATTGATGCAGTACCAAGGCGTATATTTCTAGCTGATTGAGATGTTAAAGGTCTTGAGGAACCGGTAGTGCGTGGTGTTTTTAAAGCCATTTGTAAATTATTGCCTCCAGCAGATGAAGTTGATGGACGAATTATACCACTTAAGGGCCTACCGCCAACTGTTCGAGGCCTAAAAATAAATAACAGATAATTTTTCAGTTCTAATTTATTTTGTATTTTTATCATAAAATAATATGAATTAACTTGGTATTTTAAAATAAAATTGATGCACTGTTTTACCTTTGATTACTAGTGTCTTGAGCTGTTCTTAATGATGTACCTACTCTAGCATTTTCAGCTATAGCATCAGAGTTAAAATAAGAATCAGCAATGCCTTCTTCTTCTGCTTCAATATCATCAATAGACAGTTGTTCGGTTAATGCACGCATTTTTAGAGCCCATGCAGCCTTAAATAATTACACACATTAGATTCAATTATTATCATATTAATCAGAAATTCAGTACTTAAATTACTAATTTTTATTATCAGTAGTAAGTTAATAAAAGTAATTACCATTTACCTGATCATAAGGATTTTTCGATAAGATTATTGTACAGCTCTCAATGCATTTGTCGTAGTTGTGTTTTCTTAAATCCATGCATGCAGAGTAGAAAGTATCTAGTGAGGAAATCACTTTAGTGTCCTCCATCATCARGAATAATTATCAATCGTTTTGAGTGCCCAGCCAGAAGGTTGTATCTTGAAAATTTTTAATTTTTAGTCCGTTTTATTGATGAAGTATCGAACAAAAAGCATAAATGGTACAACACAATCTTGATATTTATCTTAAGATCTAGATAAGTAATAATAATGAATAAAATAAATTGWATTATTTTTATATAATTTTTCTTTATAGACCTTTATATTTGTATGCTTAATAAGTTATAAATCAAGTAATAAGTCTTTGTTTTATATATTATGGTAGAAAAATTAAAATCTATAAATATAGTTTTAGCAGATTTAGGTAAGCAATAATATAAGTAAGCATCTACCTATGTTTAGTATAWTATTTAGTATAAAATTGAAAGACTGGGCATTAGGAGTTAAAAAGGAAAGTTAAGTTAATTTTTTTTCTAAAACTACAGATTTAAAATATATTTAAAGATATATAAAATTTTTTTTAATTGTTTAAAATAATAATACTAATTGGAAGTATCAATATAATAATTTATTATATTCATAGTTATCAACAGTTACAATGACTTAGTATCAAATGAATAGAATGCAAAACTACCTCTGGTATTAATTTTAATATGGATTCAACATTTTTAGGTGGATGCAATTATATTGATAATTATGAAAAAAAAAATGTTCCTTTAGGCAACTTACCTACGAAGATCCAAATAATTTTTAATACTGTAATATTGGTTACAGCGACAGTTTTATTTATAAATACTTTTAAGAGGTTTTCACAAATAATGATGTCAACAATGATAATGCAATAAACTGCAACAACATTTGAAAACTTGCAGCTGAAGAGATCAAAGATCGATACGAAAGTTATATGATTAAGATCAGTTTGGTATTTTTTCTAAGATTTAATGATCAAAAAATTGGTAAATGATGATAACAAACTATTACAATTTYATAAAATAAAAATAAATAAAAAATACATTAATTTTAGAAATAACCCAACTTGAACTTGTAACTAACCATAGAAACATTTAAAACCATTTGCATTGTCTGGATAATTAAATAATTTTGTGGGCTATGGTCAAGTATATATTAGGTACCTATCATACATCATTAAACAAGAGAAAACAATATTAACCGCTTACAYGTTGTGATAGTTAAGTAATCTTATTAGTTTTAGATTAAAGTATAAAATACGATTAAACACAAACATCCGATGGTTAATGTGATAAAATTGTATGTTCTCTCACTTTTCACGACCCAAGCTGTTTAAATTTTAAGTTAAAATGTACAATGTACATTCTGTAATCTAAGATAACTAAACTAATCTTTACTCTATATATATGATAATGATAATCGGACTTATTAGTTGTTTTACAGAATGTAATACAGATACCATATAAAAGTAAATAATATTAAGTTCGCAGTTTCATACCGACTAATAACGATTCACGTTAGGTTGCTTGAAAAATAAATGAAGGTGGATTCACATTGAATAGTTGAATTATACATCACGATTTAAGATATTTCAAATATGTAGTTGAATCGTGTAATACATTATATTATTATAATTTATAATTTTACATCATAGAGGCACGGAAATGACGGAATAAAACAGTACGATCACAGATGAYCCATATCATGATTCTGTCAATTCTGTGGGTAAGATAAATTATTCTGTGATTATAGACTTTCGTATCACACGGAATGATAACGGAGATAACAGTATTTTAAAGTTCAAAATGGCGATCGATCATTCACATTAAAAATCGAATACTTAAATAGTATTCATTATTTTAATCTCATTAATCGTTAYTGGTTTTTTCATTTTCATTTGATTCAATACAATTTTTTTTATGTTTAATTTAATTTTGTTTTCCGCTAAATTGCGATTTGTGTGTTTTCGTCATAGATAATCAGGATATTTATTTTTTATTTTATTATCTCTCGTGAGTGGTGGCGAGTACAATTGGTGACGTTAGCGGATACTGGATACAGTGTAATTTCGCCACGAAACTTTTCGCAGAACCGTAGCCGCTCGACACGTCCTAACGTCACAACAGTCAACAATATAATAATATAGCGATTATCGAAACTATAATAATAACTACACTGACCACTGACTGATTGACGAGTGACAAACTGACAACGCGCGCACTGAAGATTGTACAGCCACAACAACATTGATAAGCCGATAATAATAATAATAATAATAATAATAATAATAATAATAACACCGCCGTGAACCACCAACATTATAATATAATATTAATATATGTGTTGCAGTCAGAATAATAATTATATTACATTCAACAGCAATAATAATAATAATAATAATAATAAAAAAAAATATATCGTACCCGTGCGACGACGACACGAATGACGAATCGCGCGATCGGCGGCGCCCGAGAATGATGTCAAAGGCCGTCCGACAGGACCATTGCAGTGACGCTGTAGAAATCAGGTAGCAGCCGTAACGAATGCCTCCGGAATCGTCGTCCATGGAACACCTAGGCCCAGGTTTCGGAAGTCCCAACTTGCGCAATCCCTACTCGCCGTCCCGGACCACAAAGTTTCACGGCCCTAACGCCGCATAYCCGAACACCTCCACCTCGTCCTCGTACTACAAGAATAAATACGTCACCCAGCATCAGCACCAGGCGCCCGCCGCCAACCTGCCGCTGTGGACTGCCATATACAACTATGATGCACAGGGCGAAGACGAGCTCAGCCTTAAGAGGGGCGACATTGTTGAGGTGCTGTCCACTGATGCCAAGATATCTGGCGATGAGGGTTGGTGGACGGGTAAGCTCGGCGACAAGGTGGGCATATTCCCAGCCAACTTTGTCACTGAGAACAACATTTTGGAGAATGTGACTACAGTGGTGGGCAATGCGCACATCACCGAAATCGATTTTGGAGAGCTCGAGTTAGAAGAGGTCATTGGTGTCGGCGGTTTTGGCAAGGTTTACCGTGGCTATTGGAACAACAGGGAGGTGGCTGTCAAAGCTGCACGCCAGGACCCTGATGAAGACATCAGTGAGACGGTGAAGAATGTTAAACAAGAGGCCAAYCTGTTTTGGCTGTTGGACAATGAGAACATTGTGTCCATGTTGGGCGTTTGTTTGCAAATTCCAAATCTGTGCCTTATTATGGAGTATGCTCGAGGGGGTTCACTTAATCGTGTACTGATGGGAAGGAAAATACGACCAGATGTACTTGTCGATTGGGCCATTCAAATTGCCAGGGGCATGAACTATTTGCACAATGGTGCACCAATATCGTTGATTCACAGAGACTTAAAATCATCAAATGGTGAGTTAGCAATATTATTTATTACTGGGTTAATAGGACATTTCACTCTCATTTTTCATTTTTATTTGTCAATTAGGCATACCTATTAGTATACTACATAACAGTTGGTTTGATATAGGTACTTAAAATATTGGTACCCATCTAAATAAATTTCTAAAATGTTAGTTTATTATTAGGTCGAATATTTCAACCAATATTTTGTTACATAAAATATTGATGAGTTACTTTTATYTATTTCATAGTTACCTACCTATATTATGTTTTTAGTTATGGTTCAAAATTATATCCAATATTTAAACAATTCATTTAATTACTATTTTTTTAAACTCTTATTGGCTATAACTTTGAGTAATTTGTTWAATAATTATGTAGGTAAATTAGTTATTCTAAAGTTTTACTAGGTACATAGAGATATGAGTGGTGTGTAAAACGTGAATTATATACTGTCTTTTAGATATGTTAAGGTGAGTATGGTAATAAAATATAATATAGGTAGGTATATTATGTTTATAAGATATTTTGTATATCGGTATTGTTAATTTTAATTTAATGTGAAAATGCATCATGGTCTTAACACAAAATATTAACATATTACTAACAATTACTGTTTAAAACCATACATATTAAAAATATCTAAGTTTTKTTTCTCCAAAATTTGATAATTAACCTTCAGTTACATTTTACAYGGAGCCAATGAAATAGATTCTTGATATTTTAGTCAAAATTATGGTTGTATGATGTTGTTAAATGTTGAGCAGTACTATCCAGAAATCGGAAATATGTGATGTAGACAATTGTTATTAATGCACTATGCTAAATAAATATTATTTGAAATATTGTGAATAGTGGATATTAATTATGTTTCTTCAGAAGTTCTAAGTTTTTGGGGAATAGGTACTTTAACATTTGTTTTGTTTGTTAGTTTCAACATAATAAAATAATAACTATCAATGTATTTTAAATATATTGCAATACCTAAATCATATAAATAATTCATAGTTTTTTAATTCTTATACTATTTATACATATTTAGTTATAATGATGTAATTTTTTTTTATCGTATTTTTATCCTTAAAACAATATAAAAAAGTTTGAAAATAAAATTATTTGTTTTAATAAAAGAAACTATTATTATTAAGAATGAGATAGTGGAATTGCTACAATGCCACTAGTCGACTTGGCATAAATTATCTTCAACATTAATGAATAATATTTTCATGAAAGCCGTCCTTATAATATAATATATTATATTATATGAGAGAAATTATCAATTATTATTTTAACTACTTCTATTTTTTGCCCAACCAGATAAGACTATATAAATTGAAACAAAATTATGAAAATTAGTTAATTTGAGTTAGAAATTCATAAAAAAGTTTGTATTTGAAAATGTAATACAAGATTCCCCATAAGTTTTCCTACATCCTTCATTTTTTATAAGGATTTAAATTGTGGATATTTACCCTTAAATTAACATATTCAGATACATCTATTTTATTATTTTGTTATGATTCAAAAACTAAATACCTACTGTAAGTATTTTAAATGTTCAAAAAATGTTCATATTTCATTTTATTTTTTATAAATGTTTAATAACATATTTCTTTGGGTTGAAATGCTTGAGGTTCCTGATAAGTTGTGATGGCTTATAATACCAGTTGAGAAGTATAAAATATCCACACGTACATTTTTTTCATGAGAATTTCAAAATTTGGCAGAGTTCACCAAAATCTTGAAAATTTGCAAACTAATATTTAGTTAAAAATGAATATGCTTTTATTTTTTATACATAGATTGAAAGTTTAACACAAGAATTCTTATAGAGATATTAAGTTTAAATTTAGACTAAATTAAATATATACAAAGACAGACATTTTTAGTTTGTGGTAATTCAAAAATATTTTTAATGCTTTTAAAATATATTAATACATTATTATATTTTATATCCACAATGAAATTTTTTAAATAAAATTGTTTTGGAAAAAATTAATTTAATCTAGGTTCTGTAGTACTAATGCCTGATAGTAAAATAAATAACTTTACAATAACAAATTTAGTAATATTATAGGTTGATAAATCATCTTCGCTCATAATTGTTTATTTATACCTACAATGATTTTATATCTGAGTTTAAATTAAACACATCCATTACAGTTACTTATCTAGACATGTAACGTACAGCAAAATATTACTCACTAGTCTGCTTTTTAATAATAATATCTAGTGTTATAGYCTCAAAACAAAAACTGAGATATAATTGTGAAATTTATTTTAATATTCCAAAAAGTTGTAGTATAGAAAAGAGATTAAGTTGTATGTACATTGGACATGGACAAATTAGTTAAAAAATAGGACATTCCTGTATGAAATATAACACATCTAGCATGTCTAACTTAAAAATATATTTAAATTCTTGTAATAATATAAAAAAATAATATTATGCAAGATGCAACTATAGTAATCTGTCGTACTTCAAAGATTGAAGTCAAAAACATTTTAAAATACAAAGTCAAATACTTCTAACTTTTTATATAATAATTATTCACACACATAGGYAGATGATTGAAGTAATGAAGTATAAAAAATTTGTATGTTCTATGTAAAATAAAAAATTAATAATTAGGCACAAAGATATTGATTACAATTAATGAAAATTATAATAGTCTACCTTTACAATTTTTTGATCCACAGTAGCACTGAAGGACTTTGTTCTTCACGCTTCCAATAATGTAATTATAATCCCATACTAGTTCGGTTCCTGCTGTTATATTTGATAGTGCAAAGTATGCCACCCATGGAAATCTAAGGTCATGTGTATCGATAAAAACATTTTGAATAAATATGTTTGGGTCACAGGAATGATTAAAATACCGACCTATATTTCCATTAACCTTAGCATCCAATGTGTAGGAGTCATAATCGTTATATAAGCGTCTTAGCAAAGATTTGTGTTTACTTTCAACTCCTTGCTGAGTATTTAACTTAGACAGTTCATGTTTTCCATCAATTTTTGTATTTGTATCTTGTAAATTCTTTCTTAATGACATTCTAGATTCAAACATACTCATTTTACGCTTGATTGCCCAACTAGGATTAAATTCTTCATCGCCAGATGAACTAGAATAATTTTCACTTTCGTCTTCAGACTGGATCACATCACTTTCATATCCATCTTTGAAATCTTCAGCTGTTTCAAGAAAATCCAAGTCTGCTAGATATTCACCCCAATTTATAGCACTATCATTTTCAGTATCTTTTTCAGTACGAACCTCTCCAAGATATGTACAAACAAAACTGCCTTTGGGAATATCAGYAAGCGTTCTGACCCCCCAGCCTTTTTTTTCAGTTAAAAACAATTGTAGTGAAGTCTTTAGTGGTTCCTGAACAACACGATTTAAACAAGTTTTCTCACATTTACAACTAGCATTACATTCAAAAATACCYGTGAGTACGCGGTTGTATAGCCGTTTGAAAATGTAGCCAATATCAGGGTCTTTGAAACTATTGGGATAATTTTTTGAAGCTTCATAGGTAAGTTGCCAACAGGAACATTTATTTTTGTCTTCACAATTATCTATACAATCACATCCACATAAAAATTTTGAGTCTAGATTCAAATCAACGCTGGGGGTAGTTTTGCGTTCAGTTATATACTTTATGTGTTTTGGTACCAAGTCATTTAAACTGTTGAAAACACTTATTGTTTTAAATTCCATCTCRTAAGATATGTCCTGTATACAAATAAACTCTTTTGGTACACTAAATGAAGACAATGGATCCACCATACAATCAAAATTAAATAAATCTATAGTCATTTGACTATTACCATATGCTGTCACTTTCAAATAATTGTACATTCTGTCTTCATTAGCTATTTTACACCCACAAGGAGTGGTRTAAACTACTTTTTTTAATTTTGATTTTTCATCTGTTATTATAGACCTCATAAATCCATAATGTAATGGAATACTTAAAACATTCATATGCTTTGTTTGACTGTAGTCGTAGTGAACCCATAACATACACAAATGAGAACACTGATGGTGCTTGTATGGAAGTGGTTTTGGGCAGTTTGCTGGTATTTCAATTAATTTAATTATACCATTATTTTCATGAGGTTTCTGCATTTTTCGAGTGTCATCACTGTTAACAATATCAACACTTTTTTCATTTTCAGTCTTTTCATTTTCTAATTCAATATATGGCCGATTTAATAACTTATTAACATCAGTCAATACCGTACCACGTACACGCTTATCTTTATTGTTACTACTTAATTGATTGTATATTGGACTTAATCTATTTGAGCCTCGATACATCCATTCTGTGTGTTCATTCTTGAGATCAAGGAATTTTAACTGGACTAGTGAAGCATCTAAATTTTTCACTTTGGCTAAACACCATATATTGTTTAGTTCTGTGCGTACTACTTGGTTTTTATTAAACTTTACCATAAACCGTTCTGGATAATTTTGTAGATACTCCTTGACAAATTCTCGAACATTTTCATGCACATCGTCACTCACATTCGGCGACTCACCACACACAAGGCGAATATTCTTATGGTATACATACTGTGTATATCCATCATCAAAGAATATCATGTATCTAAGACAAATTAACAGATTTTTTACGTAAGATGTGATAAATATATAGGTTATTTATTTGAGAAAATTGTTAGGTAATCTGTTCTTTGTTTGTTTTTAAACAGTATGAAAATGGTTTTTAAAAATGAGAGCTGTATAATTAGCTGCTACTATACTATTTTATTTAAATACAGTAGAACCTCGATTATCCGTCCTCCGATTAATTGTCTTCCTCAATTAACCGTCAGACACCACACAGGCATGGACAACTTGCGCATTGTAGTAAAATCTTATCACCTTGTGTATGAGTAGTCATATCCAAAACTTTAATAATAAATTTTTTTAAATAAATTAATAAATAATAGTAGTAATGTACCAATGAGTAATAGAACCTAATTTTATCACATATGCATGTCATAATTATTAAAAAAAAATAAATAAATAATATATAATATGTATATGTTTAAAAAATGTTTGTTAATCATTTAACTGTCTTTTTGATGGTCCGTCAAAGCTCTGGTCCTGAGATTGACGGTTAATTGAGGTTCTACTGTACAGGTTAAATAAGTTAATACCTAATATTTAACTTATTTTCAAAACCATGATTTGTTAAATATCTTAAATATTTTCTTAGTAATTTGTTGAGGTCTTCATTAAAATGAATTATACCTATGTTTTATTCAATTTAGGTTTAGGTATTACCTTGGTAATTTTATTAATGTCATGATAGACATCATCCCTGAYATCATTATGGATACATATCCAATATTGAACCAATATAAACCTATTACATATATTAAATAACAACAAGGACTACAATTCATGACTTCCTTATAAATACCTACCTACRTAGACAGATATTTTATTAAATTTTAATTATGATAAAATACTCGTATGTATCTATATAATTTAATAAGCAAATTTTAAAATGGTGTACATAACTTGGATAACATATAGACGAGCATATAGATAAATTCACCTAGTTATTAAAACATTTGAAAAAAGATCTGATCAAGGTACAAAATTTTTTTGTTTAAAGTTWTGTTTGGCTATTATCAAGTTTAATAATCAGTCTGTAATTTTAATATGTTGCTTATCAACTGATTCTTTTTAATCTCAAWAATATTGTGTATCAATACATTTTATTTTTAAATAATAGATAAGCTTATAGCCACTTACTACTTAGACCTATACTGTTGTTTTAAATATCCTAAAAAATACATTCAAATAAATCGCTATCAATGAGGAAAAAACTATAGTGYATTTTATTTAAAGATACCTATACTAAAATTAATTGTATTTTATAAGTAGATGGTAGATACTTAGCTAATTATTTCTAACAAAAATTAAATGATATAATGTCYTGTAAATATAATAATTAACTAAATAAAATGTATTAAACGTACCTGAAATTGTTGAGACATTTTGGCGGTTCTGCTATTACTCCAACATAGAATTTGTCCGTTAATTGAATGTTCATATCTTGGAATTTGGCGATCACTCTACTGCCTACTGGATACTGTGCTTGGCTTGTAGTATTTATGTATGCTAAATTTTTATAATTTAAAACTTTTTCTTCTCCATCGTCAAATGTAATATTATAATATGTATCACTAACTGCTGATTTAATAGTTGCCTCAACCCACGGCTGCAGTTGTGAAAATTTCATCGCATACACTTTGTCACCTTGTTTTAATAAGTACCTTAGTAGTTTGCCTTCTACAGGTAAATCATTCTGCAAATCAGGTAACTGTTTATGTGTTAYAATGGCTATATCGTTATTATCTATAATATTTATCTCTTTGTCTAATTTAAACATAATTTGACTATCAAACTTATACATATTTTTGTATAGACGTGTGAGTCCTTTATCTGCTGTCAGCATTAAATTATTTAATAGTTCATTTCCAGTAGCCATTTTGGATTTTTTAGAAATCAAATGGCTATCGCATAATTCTTCTTGTTTAGCGATCAATGGTTTGACAGTAGTGTTCAAGGCTGTGATCAATGATGTCGTCACCTTAGCTTTTTGCGGGTTTGGTTTTTCAGTTGTTGGATTATCGTCGTCAGAGTCTGATAACTCAATAACACTACTGATGCTTCTTTTTGGAAGTCTGTCTTCAAGTATACATTCTAGGTTTTGTATCCGCTTACCGATCTTCTCAAAATATATCATACTTTTCTGCAAACAGGCCCCACATACCTGGCTATATGACTTGAACTGAACATTATAATAATTGCACACGGATTGTTGGGCAGCTAACAGCTTGCTTTTAGGTTTTGATTGGCAATTATAATTGATGCACTGATCGGTCATGTTACTATTACAACAAAAACTAAATGTTCTAATGATTTTTGTCAAGAACACATTAAAAAAAAAATCAAAATAAAACGACACTCGGGACTCGGCACGTCGTTAGTGGTATTTGACTGTTGTCGAATATCAAAAACAAGTAAATATTCAAACGGCGTCTATCCAGAAATAATTGAAAAACACTCATATAAGAATAACTTTGTAGTTTTGTACTCGGCACGTCGTTACTCGTCAACTCTTCATTGATTGTTGTCGTTGTTAGTTTGTTACTAATTGTCGATTGTTGAGTGTAGTTGTGAAATAACAAAAATTTAAATATTATTATTCAAATGGCATTTGTTGGGTTTTTCCAGGAATCATTAAAAATAAACTCATAAGAATATATCAGCATGTCGTCGATTGATGTGAGTAAGTCGTGGTCACAATTGAGATTTTGAGATATAAAATATCTTAAATCATGGTCAATGATTGTTGATCGTGATCGTTATCATAAATCCAAAATACAAAATTTGTCTCCTTATCACGAACAAAGAAATTATCATATTATCAATGTATAATATATTATTATCAGATGTGTTGACGAAGCAACACCGTCTTACATTTTGGTCGTATTGAGTTAACAACACTGTTGTATTCAAAATTTCGCGCGGGATCAACAAGCGTCTTTAGATGTATGATGAAAGTCGATGACAATAACGGCCTAAWCGAAAAAAAATACAGCACAGCTTAATAGCATCTAAAATCTTGACCTATCTCTGTATAGATTGCTTTGTGCCAGAAATCTGCTACATGAAATAATGCAAGCTTTTATAAAAATGAGTGTTTTATCGTAATATTTTTAGTTTTATTCATCAATAATTATATAATAAACTTATAATCAATTTCATATTTCGTACATCGAAATTTATTAAAGAATAAGATGTTTAAATAATATGCTGAGATAGATTATGTTGTATTATCGAGTCGTCCATCTCTCCATTTTTACAAAAAATTATATTTAAAAAACAAWATTTTTATGAGAATATTATTCTTAATATTGTGTGAAATGTTTTTACTTTTCATGAAAAATAATTTTTTTTTAATATACATTTTCAGTGCTTTTGAGTGAAACAATTGAAAACAATGACCTACAATTCAAGACATTAAAAATTACAGACTTTGGTCTTGCCAGGGAAGTCTACAAGACTACTAGAATGTCTGCTGCTGGAACCTATGCTTGGATGGCACCAGAGGTTATAAAAAAATCAATATTCTCAAAAGCTAGCGACGTTTGGAGGTTTGGATAAATTAATATTAAAATATGTACTTAAATATGAATTATTAGAACTGAATATATAATTATTATATATGCAGTTTTGGGTAAAATACTTTTTAAAAGTATTTGGGATAAATACTCAAATATTCATGAAAAATAGTATTCCGAATATGTATTAGAATACATCATAAAAATAGTATTCTGAATAAAGTATTTAGAATACTATCAAAATATTTAAAATATATTTTGCTATAGATATAAAATAATAACTGCTTTTAGGAAACTATAGCCAATGTTTAAATATGTAATATATTGTTTGTAAATTAAAATTATAATATAATATARTATAACTATTTATGATTTACAATATTATATTATAATAATTTTTTATAATATTTATTAATAATTATCTGCAATTATTATCTTCTATGAATAATATTAATAATATTATTAAAGCATAAAATCTTTTACCAGGACAAGCACAGTCCAAAACAATACATACTAAATAAGGAATGTAAAAAGTATTTATTTAAACAAAATAACCAGGAAATCGCAAAATATTAATTTTTTTCCGATAGAATATCATCATATTTTTGTTTGAATGATGTGATAGATGGCAATAAGTAACCAAAATACCTATGTTTTTCCCCTTGTAATACATCTAGACACACACACACACAGAGGCTCCATTACTAGTAAATACTTGTCCAAAAATTATATATCGGCTTCGGCTTTAGAAAAACGGTTAATTGTAACAGCATCACACATCTTATAAATTTAGATGAGCTCATTTTAAAATGAATAATAAGAAATTTCATAGCATCAAACCAGGGATTCTAACAGGTATCATTAGGAGTTTTTAAGTATACATCCAAATTGGTTTTAACTTTGTCGGCCATTTGACTAGAACGGTTCTGTTTGTTCCAAATAACTTGACATTTTGCAAATGTAAATGCTAAAATACTAAAATCCTAAAAAAAATATATTGTTATACTATTAAAGTATTCGGAATATAGTATTTGGAATACTTTCAAAGGTATTTTGAATACTGCATAAAATACTTTTAGGAAAAGTATTTTCAAAMGTATTTTGAATACCTAAATAGTATTCCGAATACTACCCAAAACTGTATAATATAATATGTATATGGTATATCTCATGTCATTGTATACATTGTTTTTTTAATTTATTATGGTGTTTAAAATAGTAAAAACACATTTTTCTTTATTTTTAACAGACAATTTTATTACATCTATATTTATCTGTAAAGTTATGTTGTTAATATATAATAATCTATTAAATACTATACAGTATACATAAAACACACATCTCTTGAATTTAGTAACTGTAATCTCTATTATTTAAAATATTTTTAATATTATAAAAAGTTCAAATTTTAACTTATGATTTATTTTTATTATAGCTATGGTGTTTTACTTTGGGAACTACTGACCGGGGAAATGCCATACAAAGGAATTGATGTTCTTGCTGTTGCTTATGGAGTGGCAGTGAACAAACTTACTTTACCAATACCTTCAACTTGTCCACAACCATTCAGAGAACTCATGGAGGGTATTCACATAGATTTATTAATATTGACTATCWTCATAGTGTATTTTGATTTTTAATTAATTTTATCATTAGCTTGTTGGCATTCTGATTCTCACATGAGGCCTAGTTTCGAAGATATACTAACATCATTGGATGATATTGTACATTCTGCTTTTACTCAAACACCTCACGAATCTTTTCATACTTTACAAGACGTCTGGAAAGTAGAAATTGAACAAGTACTTGATGGACTACGAATGAAAGAAAAAGTAAGATAATTACTAGATAAAAATTATACTTAATAAAATATGATACATTATACTATTTTCTTTCCAATGCTTACTTAAGGCTTTTAAATCTAAAGAAGAAGTAAGTAAGAAGTTTGATGTATGCTGAATTAAAATTTTATTTATTTAACAYCAAATTATTTTGTTCTTAGGAATTAAGGTGTCGTGAAGAAGAATTAAGCCGAGCTCAGGTACAACAACAGATTGCTGAAAAACACTTAAAACAAAGAGAACGTGATTTAGAAGCACGTGAAATGGAATTGCTCAAATGGGAACTAAATATCATAATGCAACAGCAACAAGCATCGCCTGCAATACCAACTCCCAATAAACGTCGTGGACACTTTAAAAAGTCCAACATTTTGAAGATGTTAAAAAAAGAACCAAACCAGTTGCCTATTAGTTCTCCATCTGGTAATATATTTTATTGCATTGAAAATTAAGTTTGGATGCTAATTCAAAATTTGTTTGTTTCCYGAAGATTTTCGACACACAATAACTGTACAGCACACCAGCGACAGAAAAAATCGTGATGCATCTGGTCCAAACAGTCCTCCTGGTTCCCCAAATATTCCTAGACTGAGAGCTATTGCACGTGAGTATAAAAATCTGCGTTTGTGTTTCTATGACTATATAGTAGTTACAGTATTGCTTGTATATATAAATGTTAGATTATGTGCCTATATATAAAGTGTGTTTAGACTCAAAAGATTTTGCAAAAAATCTTTACTATATTGTATTTATAGTTGCCTAACTTGGTAGGTTCTAGGCAATATATTTTCTTCAATAATATCAATAAAATGTTGATTTTTTTTTAAATATTTGAATGAATTTTCCTAAAATTAAATAAACACAAACTATTTGTATGCGTCTATTCTTATTTATTTTTAGTTATTAGATGTGTTTCATCATTAAAATATTACAAACTGGTAATTTTAAAAATAATTAATCCTCTCTTATAGGTACAAGGTTAAAAGTAAAAAACACAATTGAAAAATTTAATGCTGACTATATTGAACATATTTTTTTTTTAGTTTAATTTCATATTTAGTTGGTTTTTAATATCTTTGCCATACTTTTTATGTACTTTTTTTATCGTCCATTCAGTACTGTATGCTTACAAATATTAAGTTGAGTTGATTTTGAGCTTTTCTCGGAAATGCTGAGAGGTTTTGTGTTTAAGCCCCAAAGGAAATAAGAAGTTTAATTTAAAAAATGAATATTTGTATACTTTGATACAATAACTGATGCATTAGATGTATTTAAAGTAACAAATTTAATATTATATCGGAATAYATGTGTTTATAAATTACGCTATTGCAGGGAAGCTGAAATTGTGCAAATGAAGGTGTCACGCGTTTATTTGCATTTATTATAAATGTTCAAAACTTGGTTTTATCACAGATATTATGAGATCAATTTGTACATGTCTAAAAGCTGATGAATACTCTGAATAGATTCTTTGATTTTGAAGACACAAATATACATCTAGTAAAATACCAAAAAGAAATTTTTCTCAATTCTATAACGAGGTATGTCATGACTACTTGTGGATGTTCATCAATGTTTTTGGTTGTTTTGTGATTACCCAGTGTTGGTCAATAAATTTGAATTGATTTTATGTGGCAAATTTTAATTTAAATGTAAATTGTATTTATCTGTAGTTTTATGAAAAATGTATTCTTAGCTTTTTTTCATTCATAATTTCTAGAAACTAAAGTAGAAATGTAGAATTTAAATAATAATAAATGTTTTGAATAGTAATATAATTTACTTTTAATTCAATTGTGGAACAAGTGGCAAATTTATTATGTTCTGCATACAAATTTCATTTGYTATTTTGTTCTAAACATTTTAAGGATTTGATTTTTATGTCTGTGTTTCTTTGGAAAAATTTTTCAGTGTTAAGGAATTTTGTTAGATATTAGMTGTTTTGTGTACTTTAAATTTATACTGTTCTGCATACAAATTTCATTTGCTATTTTGTTCTAAACATTTTAAGGGTTTGATATTTATGTCTGTGTTTCCTTAAAATCATATTTCAGTGTAAAGGAATTTTGTTAGATATTAGATGTTTTATGTACTTAAGCAAAAAATGATAAAATTATACATGCTAATTTCTTAAAATTAAAAATTAAAACTACCACATTGTTTTGTTTCAAAGATTTTAAAAGATGTAGAAAATTTTCTGGAAAAATATTTGTGTGTATGGTAAAAAATGTCATATGATGAGTTGTTTTGAGATATATTTAAGTTTAAACATAAGTGAATACTGTCTACTATTGATTTATATTGTATACGGCCAGTCCACCATGCTCGTATTCCTCTATATAAATGATTTCAGTG